CAACACCCTCTTCGCTGCAGCCATGTGCTCTGGTCGGTGTCTCCCAGGTGCAACAAAGCGTGCCAAGATGCTAAGAGGGTATGCAAGGTCAGGTCGTGTGCAGGTCATCAGGTACATGAGGCAGCCAACAAGCTCTGGGTACGGGCCACTCGACTCTACGGACTCATCCGAAGGCAGAGATGAGAGCGAGTGGCGAGTAGACAGAGGAGTGGCCTGAGGCGAGGAGTACGTGAAGCCGAAGCGCTGAAGGACCTGCTGCACCATGTGTGACTGAGTCAAGGTAATGGTGCGGCGTGCTCTGTCCCGAGTGATCTGCAAGCCAAGGTAGCTGCGCAGTTCACCCAGGTCTGTGCACGTGTGTCTCTTCTGCAGCTCGGACTTCACGTAGGCGAGTCCAGCAGTGTCCGCTGTGGCAAAGACCAAGTCGTCGATGTACACGAGGATGTAGAACGGCGGCAGAGAAGTGTCGGTGCGCAGAAACAATGACAAGTCAGCAGTAGAGGGAGCAAACCCAAGAGCCGCAAGCGTAGTCCTCAGTGTGTCGTGCCACTCACGCGGTGCCTGGCGGAGACCGTAGACTGGCCGTCGGAGGCTCCACTGGGTGCCAGGAGGGAAAGTCCCAGTGAAGCCAGGTGGACGGCGCAGCCAGATCTCCTCGTGCAGGCTACCCTGCAAGAAAGCAGTGCTGAAGTCAAGAGAGTGGAGCTCGTAGTTGCGCTGAGCGGCTATGTGCAGCAGCACCCGAAGAGTGGTCATCTTCGGGGTGGGAGAGAAGGTCTGAAAGTAGTCAACTCCTTGCCGCTGACTGAAGCCACGAGCCACGTACCGCACCTTGAAGACAGGTGGAGAGCCTGGCGGCCGCTTCACCCTGAAGATCCACATGCCACTGACGATGTTCGCCCCATGAGGGGGAACTGCGTCAACGTAGGTGCCTGTGGACTTCCTGGAAGCCATCTCTGCATCCATAGCTGCCTGCCACTGAGACGAGTAGGGACCCTCTACGGCCTCCGCGTAAGAGCGCGGAGTCGGGATGTCTAGTGCATCCGGGTCTCCCTTAGGGGCAAGCAGTACAGACGGGAGATGAGGTGAAGCAGCAGCCAGACACTGAAACTCCTCCTGCCTGTCCTCAAGGACGTCCGGCTGCTGGGCGGCTCAGCTGTACTGCGGCTCGGCGGCCCGGCGGCTCAGCGGCTGCTGCTAGGCGGCTCGGCTGAACTGCGGCTCGGCCGCCAGGCGGCCCGGCGGCTGCTGCTGGGCGGCTTGGCTGCTCTGGTACTGGGCGACGTGGCGGGCGGCTGCTCGGGCGGCTCGGCAGGAGGGGAGACCGGCGGGGCCGCGAAGGTGAGGCGGCGGGGCCGCTACGTGAGGGCGGCGGGGCCGCGAAGGTGAGACGGCGGGGCCGCTATGTGAGGGCGGCGGGGCCGCGACGTAAGGGCGGCGGGGCCGCGTAGGTAAGGGCGGCGTGGCCGCGTAGGTAAGGGCGGCGGGGCCGCGTAGGTAAGGGCGGCGGGGCCGCGAAAGTGAGGGCGGCGGGGCTGCGAAGGTGAGGGCGGCGAGGCCGCGAAGGTGAGGCGGCGGGGCCGCGACGTGAGGGCGGCGGGGCCGCAACGTAAGGGCGGCGGAGCTCAACGTGAGGACGGCGGGGCCGCGACGTGAGGGCGGCGGGGCCGCGACGTGAGGGCGGCGGGGCCGCGATGTGAGGGCGGCGGGGCCGCGACATGAGGGCGGCGGGGCCGCGACGTAAGGGCGGCGGGGCCGCGTAGGTAAGGGCGGCGGGGCCGCGTAGGTAAGAACGGCGGGGCCGCGTAGGTAAGGGCGGCGGGGCCGCGTAGGTAAGGGCGGCGTAACGGGCCGCTAGGGGCGACACGGAGGGTCGCTAAAAAAAAGGAACGCGCGCCTCGGGGCGCGCTTTGGTGGGCCCTGGGAACAGTCCCTAGGAGGGGACCTGCTCTGATTCCATGTGAAAGAGTGAACGCGAATGAATGAACTATGAGTGAAGTGGGTACAAGTACTAACCCTAATTGGGTTGTAACCCCTATGGGATACCCCACTATAGCCTACACAAAAGCATAAGCTATAATGTTCTGACAAGCACATCTCGGCGTACTGTGCCTGGCATACGCGGATGATGTCAGCTTCTTGTGCGAACACCTCGATACCATTGCTGCCTTTTCGCATTTCACGAACCAATTATCCCAAGTAGGTCTGCGACACAACCCGGGGAAATGTGTCGCATGGAGCAACCACACGATAGACGAGGAAGTGCAGCTGCCGCCCGGGGTGCCAACTAGCACGGAGGGTGTCCGGCTTCTCGGTAGCTTCCCAGGAACACCAGAGGGTGCCACCTCCTTCCTATTCGCGCAGCTCCAATCGATGTCCAAACCTCTGCCACTAATAGAACGAATGGACCCGCAGATCGCATCTCTCCTGCTCACTCGCTGCATCTCACGTCGAGTAGCGTATCTCATGCCAACGACCCATCTGAATCTTCTGGACAGAGACATCTGGCTCCAGTCGGGTAGGGACCTGCTGGCCACCCTCCTTACAGCATGCGGCATACGCTTACCATCGGACGGAGAAGAACAGACCAGGGTTTGGAAGCTGTCGTCACTCCCACCGTCGTTAGGAGGCATAGGACTCACAGACCCCACGGTGGAGGGAACATTCGGCTTCCTTAGTGCCCTGCCGCTGGAGTCAGAAGTGGCCTTGACAGCGGCGAGGAATCACATGCTACTTCCGCGAGATAACACCACCAATCTACACCGCTGGCTGGCCGAATGCGATAGAACACTGCCGCAGGAGGCCAAGGACGTTCTAGACAAGAAGAGACTCGAGCCTTCAGACCTAAAGCTGCAGCACAAGCTCGGGGTGAGAGTGCAGGGGAAGAGATATGCCAAACAGGTACAGGCAACTCGGCGCATGCGACTGAACCCATTGTCAGGCCATACCCAACGATTCTTCTCTCTGACTGGCTACGGCACCAGGGACTGGCTGACTGCAGTCCCGATAGAACATACCCGCAGAGTAGGTCCCGAGCAATTCAGACTAGGGCTTGCCTTCTCTACACCCAAAAACTGTGACTGCTCTTAGCATGTAGAGATCAAGGATCCACTGCTGCCGAACCACCTCTTCCGCTGCGGCATGGGCAAGCACAGAATCAACACCCACAATGAACTGAGGGATGCGTGTATTACGATGGCGCATGATGCTGGCTTCATAGTTGAGAGTGAATCAGCTGCATACTGCCCCATAGAAGAGCAGACTGCCGACTTCACCATGCGTGATAAGAGCTCCGGGGCGGTCTACGCCTGTGATGTCACCATCATGGATCCAATTAGCACGAGGGATCCCAATGCTACTAAGGGGAGGGGATGGGCAGCAAGGGAGCAGACAGATAAGAAAATCAAACAATACGCTAACCAGCCTGACACGGTCGGCTTCTTTCTCCTTGCAGTTGAAACTTATGGCTGCCCCTGTGCGGAAGTCCCAAAATTTCTGAAGTTACTCGCGGATACGGCTGCTAGGCATCACTTCAACGCCCAACCTACCTCTCACCATGCAGCCCGGTTCCTTCATCTCTTCAAGCAACGCTGGTTCGTGGCTCTACAAAGAGCCCAGTCAGTGGGATTCCTCAGCAAGTCCTCTCAGGCGGCCGTCGCTGAAAATCCCCCTCTGGGGGGGGTATAGTCTGAGCTTCACCTCGGAGACTGCTGTACCGTACTAGAGCCTCTCATGGAGGTGTAGAGAGACACTGTTGCTTTGGTTGTTAGTTTCTATGCTTGTTTGCCTCTTAGTCTTAGAATTAGCCTTGCATGCATGTACCCTTTGGTTATATCAATGCACGGACCATTAGAGAGAGAGAGAGAGAGGCATAGTCCCTACCTCACAGATGTGACAGTGACCGACCCAGTGCTGCAACGACGCGACACCTGAGGCAAAAAGGCACCAGGGTGGGTAGCGGAGGATGCAGCCAGGACTAAGAGGGGACTCTATGAAGAGCGCCCGGAGTATGCGGGGGCCCTCGGGCTTGCAGTAGAAACATATGGGGGATTAGCGAAGGACACCCAAAAATTCTTCCGCATTATGGGCACGAGCGCAGCCAGGAAGAAGCACCGCCAAGGGAGGCTGACCACGGTTGCCTCTAGGTTGACTGCGCACTACCGACAGCGCTGGTCGGTAATGCTGCAGCGCTGCTAAGCCAATGCCATGCTGGCAAAGTCCAACAGGGCGGCAGAGGCAGCATACCCACAGGCATGGGCCGACCCTTGGGAGCCAAGCCTGGGGGACCTATGGCAGGTCCTGGAGGATAAGGTGGAGGAAGAGTGGGACCTAAGAATATAGAGGGTGGGAGGGTAGTAGCGGGGGGCGAGAACAGGGCTAGGATGGGCCACTACGGAGGGGCTGTAGGGATAGCTTGCAGGCTGGGGGCTGCCGCGGGTCAGGGGGAGCAGAGATATGGCAAGGAATGCATGCCAGAGTAGGCCAGGTACTACTCACATAGCGTTGGCCGTACCACCGATGCCTTGCTTGTATCCTATAAACCATATGAATATAGGACTGCTTGAGAGAGGCATAGTCCCTTAGTCCCTTAGCCTCTCAGCCGCCCTTACCCCTGCTATATAAGGCCGTGGGCCTGGTGGGTATTATTCAGTTCGTGGGTTCATTTCTTCGGCAGCCGTGGCTACCCTGCGGAAAGCCCTCGAGCCCGGCCCCTCGTTCTCGTTAGGATGCTTGAACTCAAGACGCAAGCGGAGGAGCCTCCACAAGCCCTGCGCCGCAGCCGCACGGACAACACCCTGCTGCTGCTCGATCAGCTACGGATCCCGCAGCATGGAGTTTTGTGCCTCCAAACCAGTGTACAGCTGCTCCAACTCCGTCGCCACGTAAGAGAGGTACTCGCCGACGCCGATCATGCGACGCTCCCAGCGGAGGACGTCAAGGACAAAGTCGGACTTCATGTCCCAGTCCCGACCCCACGTTGTCTCGGACTGAGGAGGAGACTACCACAGCTCTCCGTTCCACCACGTCTTGTCGTCCTTAGGATCAGGTGCGTCGGGCAGAAGCGGGGGAGACTGGCCACGAGGCGGAGGGAAGCGAGCGACAGGGGCGGGATGGGGAGGAACCAGGGGATGCAGCCCCTGGGGAGGCTCAACCAGAGGAACCGCGGCCGGAGGAGACGGCGAACGAGCGGGAAACAGAGGGGGTGCCGTATCTGAAGGCGCCAGAGGTGGAGGAGCCACAGAAGGAGGCGCGGGACCAAGGGTGACATCGATGGGGCAGGAGGGGGTGGCGACGCCAAGGGAGACGACTCGGCGGGGACTGATGACAGTTGCTGAGACGATGGGAGAGAGGCAGACGGCAGGCTTGACGGCACTGCGCCCGGGAGATGGTGACCGCGCGTCCGAAGCAAGGGCCCGATGATCTCCCGCTGGACAGTAGGAGGATGCCGAGGCAGGGACGACGACGGAATGAGCCACCCCGGGCCCGGAGATGTGGATGCGTCCGCCCGCGAGGGGAGTGATAGACGGACTCTCGACGACGGGAGGGAGATCCGGCCCCCTCGCGCTCGACCAGGGCCGCGGCGGCTCGGAGCAGGGCTGGCGCCAGCCCGTCTGGGGCCTTTGAGAGGCTGGGAGCAATAGGAGGGCCAGCCGGGCGGTCCGCCCGGGAGGAGGGTTGGCGCTTGCCCGTCATCGAACCACGACCTGCACGCACAAGGAGGAGCAGAGGAGGAACACCAGACAGCTGAGCGGCTCGAGAAGAATAGGGAGGAAAACAGGGAGGAAGAGGCGATAGCGTCGGCGGCGGCAATGTGGCTAAGACAGAGGTACAAAACGAGCAGACAGAGGACCTTACGAGAGCAGGCGGAAGATCGTGCGATGGCCCAGAAGCCGCGAAACGCGGCGAGAAACGCGGCCACAAGGGGACGAGGGAGGGGGCGAGGCAGGGGGGGACGCGTGGGGGAGGTTGCGAGATCCATCGCAAGGGAAACAGTCAGATCAAGGAACTAGCGGGAAAGACACGGGAGGCCAGAGGAACAGAACGCAAAGCCAATAAATGACCCTGCTAAAGAAAATGCGTCAAAAGATATTGGGGAGGAACAGGCAGATTCGGAAGAGGTCTCGGTGGAAGCCGATGATGGGGTCCCCGCGGACAACGAGGGCAGACGGGGACATGGCGGTAGACGAGGGCGAGAAGAAAGGAATGCAGCTGCAGCAGGAAAGGTGGGCGAATCACCAGTGAGCAGGCAAATGAGCCCGCTAGCAAAGAGCGCTCACCTAGTGACATCACAGATGACGCCGACTAGTGGCGTATGGTGGAGAGGTGGGATCTCGACCCACTCAGGGCCAGTTCCCAACTCTTTCTGATCCGGAAGCTTCCACCGGAAATTTTGAAATCCTTCAGCCACTGCGTCACCATCCCCCTGCTGCGACTGGCGAAACACCCAGGCTACATGGGAGCATGCCGGATTTCGCAGTTCCTGCCAAGACTTACACTAAGGGCTAGCACGGAGAAATTGCCGGGAAATAACTACGACGCGGCTCCGACAATTCCGAGACAAAGATTGGAGCGGACTGTACCTCCAAGCCTGCACCATCCCAGCCATCTCCTAGTCGAGGAGACACGAACCTGACACGGAGGGCATCTGTGCGAGGGTAGAGGGGTTGGTCCGGAAAGCCAACCTGGCGAAGGCGGCGGCTGCATTACAAACCTCGCCGTTGGCGGAACCATCGCAGGAGGCACTGCATACACTGAGGGCGAAACACCCACGGGCAGAGGTGGCGATACATGAAGGGTTAGGGGGTTGCGGTGAAATCGCACTCGCCATCGGCACAGAATCATTTCGCGAAGTGTTGGCGAGGTGCCCAAATGGAATAGGCGCAGGTCCTTTGGGCACGTGCTTTGAACACCTCTGCGACCCAGCACTAACAAACAGGGAGGTCTTCATGCTCCTACACCAAGTAGTCAACAACCTACTCGGTAACTTTCAGGACGAGCCAATAAGAGAGTTGCTACTATCATCGAGGCTAATTGCCCTGGAAAAATCGGACGGCGGGGTAAGGCCTATCGCGATTGGGGAGGCGCTTCTCGGGCTAGCGGCGAAGGCGGCACTAAGGGAACTGTCAGGAGGAATCCGTTCGCACTTCATGCCAGTACAAAACGGCGTAGCAATTTCGGAAGGAGCAGAGTGTATCATACACACGTTCCGAACGCTGCTGGAGGAAGATCTGTCAAGGACAATCCTACAACTAGACGTTGAAAATGCGTTTAACTCGGTGGAGGGCGGGTCTTTCCTGTCGATGCTACGATGGACCGGCCTGATCTCCTTGCTGCCCCTCGTTCGAACGCTATACGGCGCGCCTTCGAAGCTGCTGCTGGACAAAGGCTTCTCCGTCACCTCAATCGAAAGCGCCAGAGGCGTCAGAAAAGGAGACCCGTCCGGCCCTATGCTTTTCGTATCAGCAATACATCCGGCCCTGCTGGCGGCGGCGCTAGCGGTCCCAGGAGTGACTGTGATGGCGTACGCAAACGACATCTCGGTCTTTGGCAAACCCGCGGCAGCGACGAAAGCATTCAACATGATAAGTGCGGAGCTCGACAGACTGGGACTGCGGTGCAACCTCGCCAAGTCATCGGCGTGGAGCCCTTCGGGACATACAGGAGACTTACCGGAAGGATTGGCGTCAGCGGTGGACGGAGTGCAGGTCCTTGGTAGCCCGATTGGCACGGTGGCGTACTGCAGACGCACGCTAAGAGCCTCGCTGGAGAGGATTGCCCCACCGCTAAGCCTCGTCAGCAAGCTGCACCCGCAACACGCGATGCTGCTCCTGTCCCGATGCATATTGCGCAGGATTTCCTACCTCTTGTGCACTACGCCAGCGGGCGTCCTACCCCTTAGGGAGTGGCGAGAGATTGTTGTGGACGGCACTAAGGGCGGCCAACATCAATGTACCATCTAAGGAGTTGGAACAGAGTCTGGTGTGGAGGTAGGCGACGATGCCCATTGCGCTTGGCGGCGTAGGGCTGATAGACCCTCTGTTGGAAGCACCGGCGGCCTAACTCTCGTCATTAAAAGCGGCGCAGATGCTACTTCAGCAAATGCCGCCCTCCCCAAACCACCAGCTGCAGCAGGTGGCGGCCCTGGTGTCACCATTTGGTGAGGGAGTGGCGGGGAAGGGGGGAGCGACATTTCGGGACCTAAGGAACAGACTTCTCGAGGAAGCACAGGAACTGCTAAGGGAGACAGGGGACAACAGAGGAGGGAAGGGCCGCCTATAGGAGCAACTGTCAAAACACATCAACCTTAGACGCGCGGCAAAGTTGGTAGGCGACACTCGGATGGACAAGCCCGTGGAAGACAACGGCCATGTAATCCAATTGATTAGCCTACAGGGGTGGGGGCGGGGGACTGGCTTCATGCCATCCCCACGCGGGCAGACCTGACGTTCTCGCTGGGACTGTTTGCTATAGCCCTGGGCTTCCGCCTGGGATTGACTCTGTCGGTGACCGACAACTGCCTGTACCAGGGGGAGCAGGGGAAGATTGGGGACCTGAGCCTACCAAACCACCTGCTGCGGTGTGGGGAAGGGAAGGAGAGGACAAACATACACAATATTCTAGTGTATACAGCGCTGTGCATGCCCAGGGAAGCTGACTAACTCACCCTGCATGAGACCACGGTCTACTCGCAACCAGTCAAAATCCAAGAGAGCGGACCTGGCCATCAAGGACAAGGAGTCGGCCGAGACGTACGTAACCGACGTCATGGTGACCGATCCCATACTGCAGCGCCGCGACACCAGGGCGGTAAAGCCGCCTGGCTGGGCGGCGGAAGACAAAGCGAAAGGGAAGAGGGGAATGTATGAGGGCCGCGCGGATTTCGTGGGAATGTTCGGGCTTGCAGTGGAGACGTATGGGGCCCTGGCACGTGACACACTGCGGTTTCTTCTGCTCTTGGGCAAACAGGCGGCTAAAAGCTGTTGGGTGCAAATTCACATTGCACGACATCCTGCCGTCTGTTTGTATGAGTATGCGTGTGCAAATGCATTTGAGTGTGAATGGAATGTTCGTGTGTTTGTTTGCTTTCGCAATTTTCGCTTGATGCATTTGCAGATACTCGTGCATTATGCACTTCGGCATAACATTGTATGCGCTATGAACAGTACAAGCAGAAAGGACGAGCTCACAAAGGAACCCAAGATGGAAGCTTTGCGGTTCGGCTTACTTGATTGCGCAACTTCAGTTCTATCCAACTCGAAATTGTACTGTTTTGTTTGGTTGACTATAGTGTAGCAGGGCAGGCACTATAGGGGTACAAAATAGGTGAAGGTTGGATGTTGTTTGTCTGTATCTGCTTGCTACAGGGCCAGGGGAAACCAGCGGAACCAGCATTTGGCTGGTTGGGCAAAGACAAACCAGGTTCTGTTTTTAGGACCTGAACCTGGTTGTTGTTTTCCCAGGTTGGAAAAACAGAACCAGAGGTTGTTTACCAACGTACAACCTGCTGTTTTGTCCAGCCAGTTTGGTTCTGTTGCTTGTAATTATTTGGGATCATCTTTGGTTGTTCCCAGGTTTATTCCCAAGGTCCTTGCTAGCTAGAACTATTTATTCTTTCTCTTTGTACCTGGATATAGTCAATTTGATTCAAGCGAATTCCTTCCTTGCTGGAATTTCCTTTCTACGCGGTGCGACGGCGGAATGCTACCCGAGTCAACGCTAGTACGCTAGCACTCCAACGCTAGGCAAACGCTGTCCGGGCCATAACTTCGTAATGGCAGAACTTTTTGCGAGGCAACTTGGTTCATTTTAAAGCTATTGGAGCAAGCTTCGATATAGGAAATTCTCAGCTTAATCCGATCGATGGTCTCCACGAAACGCTGCGTGACGTTCAAGGTACTCTTGCTGTTTTGACTAAGTCCCTCTTGATCCCTCTCTCTTCAAACTCGGACCCGAGGATAGGGGCTGGTCTTGTACCAGGCACCCAAGGACCCCTGGAGGTGACCCCGAGGAGAGGTTTTAAGTGTGATTAAGTCCTAATAGCTTGAGTTTATTAGGCCCTTACACAAACAAAAGCCTCATCTGCAGGCTTGTCGACCTGGGCGTGGCGTCGGGGCGGACGCATGTACACCTGCCAACAGACACCTCGAACGACGTGACCATCATTTTGTTGGTCAGGTCGAGCACCTCCTAGCCCGTACTCTCCGGCGACACGCCCAGGTGAAGCCCCCAGTGAGCCTTCGGCGCCAGTTTCTCACTGCGCTGTTGCTCACCTTACCTCCGAGATGCCACATTCTTTTGACACATCGGTGGACGAATCCTCGACTGTTGCTTCCGACCGTCTGTCTGACGATCTGCTGACGTCACCTAACGCGGCAACTCCGCCAGTCAACCGTTTATTAGACGACCTCCTGTGCTCCGTCCTCCGTCTAGCTTCCGCCGACGACTCTCTCCCATTACGTCTCTCGCTTGTCTGCAAGCGATGGCTTGTCTTATTCAGATATCCGTTCCCTCCACCTTCTTTGCTTCTATCAGCGCTCAAAAGCCACCTTCTCCGCGCAAAAGCGTCAGCCGCAATGTCAGCGGAAGCAGTAGCAAGACGAGTACGATAAACAGCACCGCCAGAAACAGCAGCAGCACCAGCAGCAACACGCGAACCGTTCCCAACATTTCCAGAAACAACAATAATTCAAGATTCAACTACAGCATCCAAGGACGCCCCGATAGAGTCGCTTACCTCCTAAAATCCCTTTCAAGGTTCTCTGATCTCACTCGCTTTACCACGTTATTGCAGAGATAACTTAATCATCAGGAGCCAGACTACGGGCTAGGCACGAATAGGACTGATCTCTACGTTCCTTCGTCGTTTCCTCGTGCACACACCGCTTGCTAGTTCACGGGAGAATTTGGCAAGAATTTCATTAAGTTGACAACAATGGTTCAGAATGAAGTTGGCAAGCAAGACTACATCAAATGCTAGCATGCAAGATGGTTGACTGCCAGCGCAAAATGGTCGACCGCATTCCACCACGACTTGGTCAACCGTGCTCCAGCACTGCAATGTCACGGTCTGCCAACGCTGCAGGTCAACGGCGTGCCAACACTACAGCAAGGCTGCTGCACAGCGTTGCACCCGCAGGACAGCAGTGCACCCGCTTCGCAGGTGCTCGCAGCTGGT